CAGGGGGTATTCCAGTAAAATATAAATTATTCAGCCTTAAATTAATTTTAAAATGATTGCTTAATTACTAAATTAAAGCTCATAGTTTGGGCTGTCAGAATCACTACTGACTTTTTCTTGAATTAGTTCCTTGACAGAGAAAATCTAATAAAAGTGACCGTTACGGAATTACTCCGTTTTTTGCTGTTCTTTGCAGATGGTTTGGTGTATATTTTTTCTGTCACAGAACTACTTAACAAGCTTAGATTTTCGCATAGATAGACAGTTTGAGATGCCCTTCATCCCATGCAGCTAAAAATAATTTTTCGAAGTTAAATTAAATGGGCGTAAAATTGCTCACAAAATAAGCGCCAAAACGCGTTTTAGAAAAAAAAAATTTTGACATCTAAACGTTAAAACAAATGAGCCCTCTGTAAAGCATTTGATTCCCTATCCGACGGTATAGTTTTCAGAATTTTTGGAAAAAATATCTAGGTCAGGAAATTACATTTAAAATTTAAAAATTTATATTTTCACCACAAAGATTTGGCTTTCATTTGTTTTTGAGTCCAGATTGTAATCACCGTGAAAAACTGCGTCTAATGGTTGCTATTCCTCTATTCCTCTATTCCCCTATTGCTATATTCCTGTATTTCTCTATTCCGAGACTAATTCTGTATTCCGCTGTTATACAACATTCCATTTTATACAACAATATGGACTCATAACTGATTTTATAAGAGATAGTTTTAGAACCAATGATGAAAGATTTACAGTATTATTACATCAACAAGGTGTACTAATAGAATTTCAATTATCAGAAATTGAGGTATTAGATAAAACATATATGAAATACTTCGATCATTTCAGAGGTGGACAAATCTGACCATTTCCAAGTCCAAGTCCAACAGAAAATTCTTTTGGCAAGTCCCAATCCAAGTTCGAGTCGAAGTTCTTCATATTTCTGCACTATACAGTACGTCGTAATCATATATGACGAGTAAATAAATTTTATTCATACACTGATGTATGTTTCACAAAAGAAAGATTAATAAATTAGGTATCAGATTATACTCAATCCGTCGTTGAATGTAAAAGTTTTCAACTCCTTGCACTTCAAACGGACTTGATAAAAAGATCACCAAGTCTATCAAAAAAACCTTCAAGTCCGGACTTGGACTTGCCCACCTCTGCGGTCATTTATATCGTCAAAGTTAAGATAAGAAAAACAGTTCAATTTTTTCGTTTTTCTTTATTATTATATGGGACATCATTATTGTTCACAAGCTTTATATAAAGAATTTGTTTTGTAAGATACTTTTGTATGTGTATTATGTAAGGTATTTAAATATTGCACAACTTCAGTTACATCGTTATAAAATGTTTTATATTGATCTTCCCATGTGCACATATATTGAAAAAATGTAGCACTAGACAAAAAGCTTAATAAATTACAGGTTCTACAAATAAGCACATGTCCAATCCTTGCCTGGGAGGGGGAGTAAGGATTATAAATGTGCATAAACTGTAAGTTGAACGAATTATTTCGATGTTTTGAAAATTTTATGTTCATTATTTATTAATAACGCAAATAAGCGATATTCATATTCATGTATATCTTTGTTCATAATAATTTATTTGTATAGGTCGTCGACTGAGCCATGCTGTCACTTGGTTGCAAGAGAGAGAGAACAGTTGAAAATATTTAAGTTATTATATACGTTACTCACAAGTAGAAGTTCTCTTTCTTAACTCTGCTGGTTAGAATAGACCTGTTGCAAGATGAAGAAGAAGGAGAAAGAGAAAGAGAAAGAGAAGAATATTCAAGCTTGTATACAAGCTTGAATATTCTTCTCTTTCTCTTTCATCTTGCAACAGGTCTAATGTCTGTGTTTACACATAAATGAAAAAAGTGAGTTGAAAGATTCTTTTCGTTCTGCTATTGCACACGACAACAGAGAGAACAGAACACGTTGTCTGTGGTGCGAGTATGTACTTGCAATGGTGACTTTTAACAGATCGGGGAATGGATATTTGGTTGGAGGATGTGCACGAATATCGTGGAACAGTGGACATTACGGCAAATCTCTCACTATGAATTTAATACATTATCCGTCAACTTAATTGCCTTTCTCAAATGAACTGAATAAAAGAAGTCTAATTAAAGGTAACCTTTGTCTGATATATAGCAAGACGCAGAACATTCTGCTTGGGCTTTAAGTAGACAGATTGTTTTGTCAAACAGGATACAGTCTACCCAGGGCAATGAAAACGAGATGGAAAATGGCTCGTTTATGGCTCATTAACAGGCCAACTTTTGGTCATTAATGGTCATTTTTATCTCATAAATGGTATCGTTATTCGGTCGTATTTACACGGTTTATAAATGTTTATGTATTTTCTTCTACTTATTGATATTCTATTAAAAATGCCTCCTTCCGATACAAAAGGTAAGCAAGATTTAGTTGAATTCTGTAGAAAAAAAGTATGCTGGAAATGAACAAGAACTGAAAACACTTCATAAATTTGAACATGGCTATGAATCTAATTATATAGTTGTATGAATCTGAGTATATAGTTTCTATCAACTTTCTTCTAGAAGTAGAATTGTTTTCCGACTGAGATCGACAGTGATGAAAAATCGGTGGTAAAATAGGACGTTATAAAAGCGCTCGTTTTGACCGTTCTAAAACGGAAAGAAAAAAGTGTTTTTTCCCGCAACAGCACTCTGTCCTAACATTATAAAGCTCGAAGGAAAACGAATAAAAAAAGATAAACTTTTTTATTGGGTGACATTTTTTCTAAATTCGAAAAGGTTGCGGAACAGTTTTCCGATGTCTTTTGTTCGAACATTTTTGTGATCTTCGGAAAACATTTCCGATCAAACACTTAATATAAAAAAAATCGCTAACGGGTTGAAAGAATTAACCATGAGGAAAAATCTATCTAGTGTAGTTTTTCCCTCTCTTTCTAATGGTGATGTCAAAATTTTACGCGAACATCATCATGATTTCGCTAATGAATTTTATTCAAAAAAATCGAACTTATACCCCGATCGGGATATATTTTGATTCAAAACGGAATATATATTCACATCGGGATATACAGCGTGAGACCCTGTTAGTGTGATTGTTGGCGTCTGTAAGGATATATAATATTTGGCGTTTGTAAAATTCCTTCATTGTTTTTCTAGAAAACATGATATTTTCTATGACAAAAAAACCGTATAGAAATTCCTAAGACACTTAACAGAAACGTTAGCTGATGCGATTTTCCATTTCATTACACTTTTTGCATCCAGAGAGCATTGTTACTAACTGAGAAATTGTCTTTCTTTTTTTTTTCAAAGTGCTGCTATATTTTCAAACACGTTTCTGTAGAAGTTTAATAAAATATGTGCTCGATAAAGATTACTTTCTGTTCGCTGAATATCTGAATGATTTGGTGCCGATGATTTTCGATCGTTTGCTAGTGGCGTTTTCTAATGTTTTCCGAAAGTAATTTATAGCTAAATCAAACTAGTTGTTGTTTTCGTAAACATTAGTAATTATTCCATAGGCATAAATATTTATTGTTACTGTATCATCTGTTTTTTCACGTAACTGTTGATCTTTGGTTAATTGAGCAATCAATCAGTGAAAATATCTTACACCTAGAACAAGAATAAGAAATTTTTTTTTTCCATCAGCACTTAACATTATAAACCAAAGATTAATACTTAAACACCTTTTTAAATTGTTTTATTCATTTTTCATCTGCTTCTTTATTCATACAATAGACATATACTGCACTTAGATTCTTTAAATCATGTATAACTGGTAAAATTTGTCGTTCATAGCTACCTGAGACGATTTTTTGATCATTCAAAACTGTGACATAATCGACACATTCAACACTACTAATAAAAAATTTTAATTTGGTTGACTACATGACGAAGCTTTTCTGTATATGTAAGTTATCTTCTGTTTCATTAACATCTTTATCGAACCATAACAAAGTATAAGTTTCCAAGTTATTCGTTTGAAATCTAGCTCGTCCTGACGGAGCCGTTGCTGTTGTTGTCATAGCAGCTGGTGTGACGGCTGTGAAAACGTTTGTAGCCGTTATTGTTGGCTTCTTAGTCGTCGAAGTATTTTTACTTGTCATTCGATAGATCAGATTCGGCTATAAAATCCTGAAATTAAAAACCTCCGTTTTCTGCTTAGATAAAATCTGCGCTATATGTTTGCGATTATTTAGCTTTTGTAAAAGTAGTTGTACAGTTTGACCCGCATACTTTAATCTGCTTCTAAAGTGTTTTATGGTGACCCGAGCACCAAAACAAAAGAATGTAAAAGCCGAAGTTACATAATTCGATAGTGAGATGCGTGGTCTCCAAAATCGACTATCCATATTTTTTTCTATTACTTTCATTTCTTAGAAACGCTAGTTTTGGTGGTGCATTCCGCTAATCGCAAATGTTTTCAGCGATCAAAATGTTTCTTCACATTTTTTCGAGTTATTATTGTCCAGGAGAAAAATCAAAAAGAAAGTGGCCCTATAATTTTTTCCAGCACTGTATATGAACAGATGTAGCCAGGTATTGGTTACAGAATGATGAAAACCTGAGATCTTCATCGTCTTTCCTTCAGGACTTATGAAAAAAGTATCTGCATCCACTATATTTTGAAGTGGATAGTAGTACAAATATTATGTTGAAATATTTTTTCTTCAGCTATCGAAACGAAAATTATGATCACAGTCACAATTACCAATAGACTGCTGAAGTTATAAGTAAATCAGGCATCTTTTATGTTAAAGCCTGAATGACGCGACCAGTGTCAACATGAGATTAGTCTCCAAATACGTTGCACGGAGATACACTATGATTAGCGTCATGTAAAGATGACGAATAGAACAAATATAGTTGAGTTATGATTCATGAGATGATATGACATGTTTCGTCATTTATGGCTATATAAAGACCTCGTATAACTATATGCAAGAAATTTGATCTAGATATTATCAATCTTCTACTACTCATGGATAGACTAATAGGTGACATAATTGGGCAAGTACTGGGAGCGCTGGCTAGCGCTATACTTACAGCCGCTCTATCTTCGCCAAGTGCATCATCAAGGTCGACGTCAGTTAAAAGGGAGAAAACGGATAATTCATCAATAAATATTCCTTCGCTCACAAAAAGCCTACGTCCTCCTCCTCGAGCTGCGTTAGCAGCATCAAGCGATAATGAGTTTGGAAGAGAAGTTGAGCGACTTGTAAATATCTCATTTTCGACAAGTTTTTCATTTCCATCAATGATGAAAACATATTTGGATGTTATTAATTTTATTAAAACAGAACTGACAAAACGTTATCCAACAGAAGAATTTGTGATTATTATTGGGAAACATCCGTTCAATTTTGATATTGATTATGCATTATATATGGCGGTCGTTAAACAAAAACAGTACAAAGTATTGGTATACTCAATTAAACGGAATTTATCCTCGACATCGAAAGTGGACACGCACGATGCTGATAGTGGAACACTGCTAGTGTGGAACAGTTGAATCTGTTTTTCATAGTCTTTTGTCTTTATAAATGTTTAAAAAAAATGAAAAGTTGTAACTTAATGATTCGGAGTGATAAGATGTAATCCACAGAATCGAATGTTAATATTACTAGCTGATCCCTCACGAAGCTTCATGAGAGCACACCGACTTCGCGAAGTCGGTATGAGTGACACTGTTCAGAGATATCTGGTCGCCAAACATGTTCTACATTTAAAATTTTAGTAAGAAGTACAAAACTCAAACGAAATGCATTTTTTTGGTGAAGTTAACTACTACACTGATTTACCGAGCTTTCGACCTGTTTATTCTTCGGTCATTTTCAAGGCGAATGACAAAAAGAAAAAACCTGTACAGTATTCGTTGAGGTTTTGTACTAAAAAATGCATTTCGTTGGAGTTTTGTGATACTGTACACGTTTTTTCTTTTTGTCATTCGCCTTGAAAATGACCGAAGAATAAACAGGTCGAAAGGTCAGTAAATCAGTGTAGTAGTTAACTGCACTAAAAATTCCATTTCGTTGGAGTTTTGTACTTCTTACTTGAATTTCTATCTCCCACTCCACAATCTACTCAATTTTATGTTCTACATTTGTTTGTTTATTGTGATGCGAGTGACTAACATGCGCCAATCAAAACAAATACATCTGACTCATGATATAATATAAGATGTTATATTATTAGCCACTACTGAGTATCTAAGGAAAGGTACGTAACGGGTGGTGCAAACGTTGTGCATTAATTTTGGTTTTGATATAGCGTTGCAATGGAACATCGTAGAGACTTTATCCTTTCTTTGTTAGAAAGAGCAAAGTGTCTAGTACAAAAATATATAAAGTGTTTGATCGGAAATGTTTTCCGAAGATCACAAAAATGTTCGAACAAAAGACATCGGGAGACTGTTCCGCAACCTTTTCGAATTTAGAAAAAATGTCACCCAATAAAAAAGTTTATCTTTTTTTATTCGTTTTGCTCCAAGCTTTATAATGTTAGGACAGAGTGCTGTTGCGGGAAAAAACGCTTTTTTCTTTCTGTTTTAGAACGGTCAAAATGAGCGCTTTTATAACATCCTATTTTACCACCGAATTTTAATCACTGTCGATCTCAGTCGGAACACAATTCTACTCGTAGAAGGAAGTTGATAGAAACTATATACTCTACCATGGAAACGAAAGCTTATTGAGTCCTCTACCAAGCGATATGTACCAAGCGACCTGTAAGAATAAACAGGTCGAAGTAAAAGCAGTGTAGTAGTTAACTTCACTAAAAATTGCATTTCGTTGGAGTTTTGTACTTCTTACTTGAATTTCTATTTCCCACTCCACAATCTACTCAATTTTATGTTCTACATTTGTTTGTTTATTGTGATGCGAGTGATTAACATGCGCCAAATCGGCCTGGTCAGCTAACCGTCATCTCCTCGAGGGAAAGTTCGAAGTAAAAACTAAATGAAACCAGTCTGCCTATCGGAAAGAGCGCATCCGAAAGTATATAAAACAGATGGTGCGAAGTTCTTAAAACAAGTATGGAGGCCAGAATTTGTCCATGTAAGTAATGTATGGTAACTGTACAAAGTTAACTACGATTCACGAGAAAGAAAAACGGAAGCAAAGAAATTGTTTGTTTCCATTTCATTTATACATATTTGTATAGCTGAGGAGCTGCTCTTTCTGAAAATATCGTTTTAAAAGTTTAGGATCATGCCTTCTACAAAAAAATAAGGCTCGAAACTGTCCGTATTTTTCGAGTAATTCCGTGACGCAATTAGCTGATTTTTCCTTTGCCTAGTGTTAAATAGCAATATTCCGGAATGAAAGTTGTATAGTTAGATAGATCTCGTCGAATGCTATCTAATGGACGTTCCATTTTTGTTTTTTGAGCCGAAATAGATGAAGTTATCTGGCAAAAACTGCGTCACAGAATTACTTATGAATATAAAACTTGAAATATTTGCTGTTTTCTTTCTCGCTTTCTTCTTTTTTCCTTTGAAGCTCACCTCTGTTTGACCTTGTATATTCGTTTTAAGTGCTTTTTTTAAATCTATCATCGGACAAGGCAATTTTTACGACAATAAACATAGTTTCAGTTGCGCAATACGTTCTCTCTGCCATGCTTATCGGGTTTGCTTATTTCAAATAATAGAATGGTGCTCTCGGGAGCTGAGCGTATGAAGCGTTATCGTAAAGATTTGGGAAAAAGATCATTCGGGAGTGATAGATGAAACAGCCGAAGTTATTTTTTCGATACATCATTTAATTATTAAATAATGAGTCTCAAAAGTTGACCATATTTTCAATAACTTCTCTATGCGATAATTATTACTCGTTCTCAGTTATTTCTGATCGCACAGGTTTTCAAAAAAGATGCTTCGATAGCGCAGGGGTCATAGATGATACATCTGTAGTTATTTTTCGGATGTTTGCTTGAGTTATTGTATAATTAGTGTCACAAAATGCGTATATTTTTTACACAACTCTATCGTTTCTGCTGTAAGATAATTAATTCTCACGAGATTCACTTCATAGTGAATATGTGCTACAGTACTGGATATGATGAAAGTTATACTATAGTAGAACATATGACACGATAATGAAGCAGCTGATGTATGAATAGAGGAATTATTCTTGAAAAGTAGGCATACTGTTATAAGTTTCTGATTCTTCTAATTTCATCTGTTTATTTAAGTCGACTGAGTAAACCGATAAGGGGACTTATTCTGTTTAACTTCGAGCGTTGCCTAGTAATATTCATCTTTCTTTTTTTCCACACTGTGTTTTCGTGATCTAGTTAGACACTCGTTCTCGGTTGCCCCTAATAGTACAGATTTTGGGAAAACATGATTCGAAAGTGCAGGGGTCGTAGATGACACAGCGGAAGTTAGTTGTGAGATGTTTGCTTTAGTAATCGCATAATTAGTGTCACAAAATGCGTATAGTTTTTACACAACTCTATCGTTTCTGCTGTGAGATAATTAATTGTCACGTGATTTACTTCATACTGAAAGTATGGTACAATGCTTATTATACGATAAAAGCTATAGTAGAACATATAACAGAATAATGAATCGTCATGTGATTCACTTCATAGTAGGGATGTTACAAATAAAATAATGTTGCAAATAAATGATCACTTATTCACATAGTCAGCTTTGCGTTGTGTCACCGTTTCAGACGATGTTATAGCCGAAAGTATGTACTATATATACGGAAAAAAGAACGTTCGGCTACAACGTCGTCTGAAAAGGTGACAGTACGCAAAAGTGACTATGTGAAAGAGTGATCATTTATTTATTGGAAACTAGTTTTATGTAGTCTCTTATATACTAATTAGCCTAAGCTAATACTCGTCATAATTAGGTTGGTGACAAATTGTGAAACGCTTTCCATTAATGACGTAGCTTCTGGCCTAAATATCTTCATTTCTTTTTCAGTCATCATGTATGCACTTTTGTTACATCTATGGGCATAATAAAAAATTTTTAAGAATGTATACTCATATGTTGACATTGGTTTCGCATGCTATGACCTGTGTAAAAATATTTTCACATCATTCCCCTACGTGAATTTTCTTTTCCGTGCTGTTTTTTTTCACCTGGAAAGGTACGTCGAATGTAGTTTTCTTTTATTTAAAAGGGTATTTCATTGTTTGTAACTTTGTTTGATCATTAATTATACTGCCTTTTTTTTAAAGATGAAATTCGCGTTGGTTTTCGTCTTCTTTATGAATATTTTTATAAATGCAAAATGTGATAATCTCTCAAACTTACAATTAAAATCAGGTAAAATTGCAAACTATTTTCTTAGTGAAATTTTTTTTCTAAAATAAATCAGTTGAAAGAAATATAAAATGATCATTGTATATTTGAAAGATAATACAACAATATCGGGTAATAAAACAAAAGCTCCATTCAATGCAATAATAGGATATGCATCAACAAATGTCGAAGCTTATTCAAATGGAAATGATATTTTTATATCGTTTCAATATAATTATTTATATGGAGTTTTTATGGGAATGAAATGGCAATGTGTTGAATATGCACGTCGATGGGTTTTTAAACGTAAAGGTTGTGTTTTTGATAGTATTGATCAGGCTGCTGATATGTGGACTCAATTGGACAATGTTCAACGAGTTATTGATAAAAAATATTTTCCTTTAAAAAAATATCCGAATGGTTCTCCAGATCCGCCTAAAAATGAATCATTACTTATTTATAAACGTTCAGGTGTGGATATGCTATCTGGGCATGTTTCTGTTATCGTTGATGTTTTACCTGGTTTTATTCAAGTTGCTGAAGAAAATTATGATCCTTATTATTGGTCAGGAAATTATTCTCGACAAATTCCATATGTATTTATTAATGAAAGTTATTATATTGAAGATGATTATCCCATTTTTGGTTGGATGTCAATTGAAGACAATAATCAAACAAAACCGTTGGATCAAGCAACAATAAATGCTATTATTAATTAAATTAATCAATGCCTGATTTTGTTCATTTTAATAATGCTACTTACCATTATTTTTCAAACTATCTATTTAGTTTATCTTTTTTGTATGCCTACTTTTTCATTAACATTTTCTAACTGAGAAATATTTATTTTTCTTAATAAATTATCTCAGAGATGTCAGAATATCAGTACGCAGTGTATTCTCAAAAAGACACTATTTCTTGGGCTTGCTGGGCTTGGTGTATTCTCATTGACAATACATAATATAGTGTCGCGGTCGGGGGGAGGGGGGGATGCAGCATGAGAGTGAGCCACTATGCAACAGTGCGTATTGACAGTCAGAATACACCAAGCGCAGCACATTTTATGGAAATTTATATATTTACGTATTCTGGTATATTCTCACTGGAATACCCTTGCTGGGCTTGGTGTATTCTCGGTGAGAATGCACCAAGCCCAGCAAGCTTGAAAAAAACGGTCTCTTTTTTAGAATACACTGCGTACTGATATTCTGACACCCCTCAACTATCTATCGTTTGGTCTCAAATGTGGTAGTGTTGTATTTGTTGAGATTTTCATTGAAAAAATCAGAATTGTTTTGTTTTTTGACATTTTAGCTTATTCATTGCGAAATTGAAATAACGTCTACGTACAGTATAATATACGGCTACGTTCCGCATATCTGAGAATAAGGGGTGCTCTAAGCATTTCAATTAACATACGGTGCAAAGGTCATGGAAATGATGTCAAAGTCTGTTAGACCGTATTGCCGACTTCTAAACCAATCAAACTTGTTATTATTGGAAAGAGCAAAGTCTGAACTACAAGTTTTGTGCCAGACATAGTTTTCCAGAACAAATCTGCGAAGGAGGAAAAGTCAAAAACCAAACACCTCTGAAAAAGTCCTTGCAACTTCGCTATGGAGCAACACCATTTTCTATTTTTTTATTAGTTCTTTTTATCAGAAGAGAAATGAGAAAACACGTTAAATGATGATTTTTGTAGCATAAAGGGTGCTCTTTCCAATGGTAGATTGGAAGTTAAATTTACTCTTGATTTTTGTACCAAAATACCGCTTTTTCTGAAAGAGACTAAATAAGTTGGTCGTTCTTACTACCTGGCCGTTTTGCCACGATAAAAAATCTTCTTTGAATTAGTTTTTTTGCAAAATTTCTACGATCGGACATATGTCTAACAAATAACGCAAAAAGAATTCAGTTCATGCATAATTTCTGAAGATGATGGCTGATTTTCTTGCAAAGTGCTAGTTTTGCAAAAGACTCGATTTTACTAAAAAATTCATGTTTAAAACGTTTTTGATTAAAGAGTCAAGAACGGATCTAAAACTTTTACCAATGTTGATATCGATAGTTTTTGATCTGCTACATTCTGGTGTAGTTTTTGTTCAAGTTTGATACATGGAGCTCGAAATAATTGAGAAATACAAACTTTTCAAGTTGCAAACACGTTGCAAGAACTTTTTCAGAGGTGCTTGGTTTTTGACTTTTCCTCCTTCTCAGATTTGTTCTGGAAAAATATGTCTGATACAAAATTTGTAGTTCAGACTTTGCTCTTTCCAACAAAAACAAGTTTGATTGGTTTAGAAGTCGGCAATACGGTCTAACAGACTTTGACATCATTTTCATGACTTTTCCACCGTATGTTATGGTGTTTCAAACAAACAATTCCATTTAACTAAAGTTTGTTTAATATAGGCGCTACATTTACTAACACTTTATCAACAGTACGAACGTGTTCAAACACATCAACTACTTTTGGCTCACTATCCCATCGAAGGAAAGGACTTTCTTTCAATTATGAATTCATTATTATGAACCTGCATCAAAACAATGAAAACGGATTAATTAACTAGTAGCAATAAAACTTAAACAAAAAAGTTGATTAACAAAGTTTTATATTAATTTTTCCGAGATTCTAAACAAATAAATCTGAAAGAATCCGTGCCGATGTATAACACAATAATCGAAGCACATTAGGGAAATATTTTGGTAAAGAGCTTCATCCAAAAATGAGAAGAGAACATATATTTATAATTATAGCACGTTTTGTTCTTTTTAAATAAAATTAATTCGGGAATGTTTTCAACACCGTCCATATATTTTATACAACGAGACATTATGATGTTTTGTGCACCTTTCGATGTATCCATTTTGGATAATACATTAAATTAACGTTACACAGAATGGCATTTGATTTTCTATAAAATCTATGTTAGTAAAGAACAGTGGCAGATCCAGAATTTTTCTTTGGTACGGGCGGTATACGATAAAAGTGCGAAATACGTGCCATCGTCATAGAAACAAATTATTTTAAGAGAATTCTGCTGGGAAAAAACAGTTTGTTGGTTAAAAGGTACGGGCGGCTGCTTGTACCGCTCGCGGGCTGGATCCGCCACTGGTAAAGAATAAAATGAGTAAATTTACCTGTAGGACAGATCATCGATTTCAAACGTATTACTACAACATATATTTCCAATTCCTTCTAGATTTTCCTCTTTATTGAGACATAACACATATATCATAGGAGAAATTCAAATTTTAATTTACTATTTAGAGGAATCTAAATAAACTGAAAAGAATGAGGATGACACTAAAGATGAAAACGAGATCAAAAGTGGGGACCTAGTTGAGAGTGAGGACGAAGATGAGACCAAGGACGAGAAATCTAGCTTAAATTCAATTGCTTTAGATAAATCCAATAAATTCCAAAAAATTAAATTGCGATGGCTCTTCTAATATAGAGCACAATATTGTACCATTGTTTATTTTAAGTATTACTAAGAAGAAACAGAAATAATGATGTATTTATTGTTGTTTAGGGGAATTTTAAGTTGTAATTTTCTCTCTGACGCATACATAAAATTACGACAAACAATTTTATTAAGGATTGTGAAATTAGTCATACTCCTGAGCGAAGAGAAAGACGACAAACGTTGTTACTTAACTAACAGTATTCATTTATTTACCAGTGCACAGCACCCAATCCATTATTAACCGAAAATGGATTAGCTATTTCGAATTGTAAGTAATGTTCACCACACCATAGAAGATGCGTGATAGACTTGATCAGACAAAAAGACTATATCTTGTGGTTGGCTAAGCGCGAACAACAGCTCTCTTGGTGTAACGTATATTCGGACACTACTAAATTCTTCCGAAAGAAAAATGCTTTTTTAACGTTTCTTCGACAACAGTCGAACACATTTATCTAAGAAGAGACTTTCCTTTTGATCATTCGGAACTCGTGTTCTTTGACTTTTCTCAAGCAGATACATACCAATCCTTATATTCGTGAAATTTTTCTCTTCTCGAACAAAGTGAATACTTTCGCAGACATTGAAACAAACAAATGTGACAAAGTGATTGGCATATTTACTCGATCAAGAGAACTTCGATTAAGACTCCAACGATCAATTCGTTTACATCGACATAGTGCCCGTTTGCCATGGAGTTTTTGTAATCCGAATCAAAAACATCTGCGCGTTATAGGTCACAAGGAGGAAGGGGAGAAGAATCGCTTTATATGGTTCCAGCTTTTCAAAGAATTGATCATTAAACTTGAGGAAAATCCATAATCAAGATGAGATCTTATGAATCAATTTCGTGAACGTTGCTTCAGCGATAAAACTCGAATTAAACACATGGATAAATTTGAGCAAGGGTACCGTCCGGTATACCGGTGACCGGTCGCTACCGGCTTGTCTCGATCATATTTGCCTAAACAAAAATACTTTTTCCTTGGTTTTCTTCATTGTGAGCTTTATTTTATGTTATCAAAGTGATAGATTAATCTTTTCGCTTTGATTATGTACAGCTGATTTTTCACACACTTTTTTTTAACGAAAACAGCAATACAATTCAATCTTTTAAATTAAGAAGTTTATATAAGCCGAGAAAGCTTTAGTAATTGGAATGAAATTTTAGTGGAAGAAATATGTTACAGATGAGCTGACTTAACGCGATGTTGTTTGAAAAAAATTTTATCATACCGCAAAATACCAGCAGTATCGGCCAACCGATTATACTTCATACTAATGCCGGTATACCGGTCGGCGTTATAATTCGTACCGATACCGGTTGCATCTCTGGTGCTCAGAAAGAATTCGATTATATGCGATAGGTACAGATATAAGCCACCATGAGGGTACTGCAGATCAGTTCTGTAGTTTTTAGACTTCTATGCTTGTCTCATTTAACTGAGTCAGTCAGTACATTGAAGTAACTTTTTTGAGCGCGCTGATGTCATTCTGGATAAAAGCCTGACAAAAATATTTTTCAATGCTGTATACAGTGGCTGCCAAAATTATTCATCCACCCCTAGCTTCGTTCTCCCTCCCCTCCTCCCTCGAACCGTTACCTCGCCTTTTCAGCCAAACCCAGTGGGTTATAGGTATTCGACCACGCTAATTCCGAATATGAACATGAGAGCCGCCCTTAGGTTTTCGAAAATCAGCTTTTCAGAAAGTCTGAAAAATAACCAAAACCCTTTTAGTGAACCATGAGTGCAGCGTGCACATTTCTGATTAAAAAGAGACATCTCCCACCTCTACTTGACCTTTCTTTGCAAAGTTATAGAATTTACAAGAAAAGCCCTAAATGTTCATTGTCAGCTCAAAGCTACAGAAATAAGAAGAGATTATTTTAGGACTTTGTTGTAAATTCCATAACTTAGCAAAGAAAAGTCATGTAGAGTTGGGAGATGTCTCATTTTAATCAGAAATGTGCGCACTACCATCATGGCTCGTTAAGAAAAGTGTTGGTTATTTTTCAGAGTTTCTGAAAAACTGGTTTTCACCGGACCTTCGAAGACCTTAGAGCAGCTCTCATGTTCATATTCGAAATCAGCGTGGTTGGATACCTATAGCCCACTGAGTTTGGCTGAAAAGGCGAGGTAACAGTTCGAGAGGTTCCCTCGTGAGAAGTCAAATAATTCATCCTAATTTGATTAAAGCATAGACTTTTAGGAGTGGCTTTGATGACCATGAACCTCACTTTCAAGCTTAAAAGCCGATTTTTGATGATCCACGTTATACTTTTCATTTAAATGTTTCTAAGTATCACCCCTAAAATAGTTTCGAGTTCTCCACGAAATCAGACGATGTTTCTGTTTAGCTCTGTGAAACAATATTCTTCAGATCTCAAAATTTTTTTCCATAAAGAATTCGATGTACTCTAAGAGTTACATGTATCTAGATGTGCCAGATGAAAAGTATAACGTGGACTCTCAATCGTCGAAACTCGGTTTTTCAAGCTCTAAAATGAGGCTCGTGGGCATCAGAATAATTCCTAAAAATCTATGCTATAATCAAATTCGGATGAATCGTCTGGGAGCATCCTTTCGGTAGTATAGACAATGAACATTGCACTTCTCTGATATATAGAATATTCTTGATATTTCGCTTGTATCCGTTTTAGAAACTATTTTTGTAGAACAAATATGGAAGTGTGTATCTTAATCTTAGAAATATGCTGAATTTTCAAACTATTAAAAATGTATACGCGTATTGAAAATAATATAATAATTAAGAATAAACCACATTTTAGTTTTACAAAATATTCACCAATAAAATTTCATAATTTTTGGATAAATATATGCCATTAATTAAACATAAAGTAGTCACCTTAAAATTTTTAGGACGACAAGTTGATTTAAAGCATATTTTCTTTACTGGATTTGATTGTCTTACATCTTTAGTGTTAGAAGATATTAACTGTCATCAAGCAGAATATGTGATTACTGGAAACTTATCAAAATTAAAACGATTATCAAGAAGACGATTATTTGCTGGTTATTACAAGAATAAAAATGTAATGATTGCATCATTACTTCAATTAATATTTCTTCATTTAACTATAAGAACTATTGTTTCAAAAAGGCGCATCTGTTCCCGATATGGCTCCAGGAAATACTGTACGGTGGCTCACTCTCAACCCCGACATCCCACACACTCACTTGTGCAGTATACCTACTGAAAGTCATTTGTTATCCGAATGTGGTCAAAGAGTTCAGCTACCGAATGATATAACTTTTATTCTTACACTCGAAGCTTTTCTTTGAAAAAATGTTTTCTTCGTAATTCAGTCAATACTTTTGCAAGATGTCAAATAAAATTTTACGGTGGAAAAGGTTGGAAAGACCAGGAAGTTTCACTTCTATAAACTACAATTAACAATAATTTCATTTGATTAACCTCTATTACTTGAAATTCTGATTCTACTAATCCGTTACGACTATCGTATATTATGTTTTCCTTTCTTACACTAGTGCTCCCTTTAAAAATTAAAAGGAGAGTGGAGATGCCGAGTATCGATCTCGGTACCTCTCGCATGCTAAGCGAGCGCTCTACCATATGAGCTACATCCCCATGCGAAGTCAATAAACAGTCTGTTAACGAAAGAAAAGAAGAATAGTAGCAATGCCGAAAGTATGTATCTCTGAGCCTTCGTTATATAAAACAGCAGTCTGTCACTGTTACCATTCAGTCAATCCAGCTGATAGTTCTTCTTTAAAGAAAATATTTCAAATATTGCGGAATTACGTATTCACGCTCAAACTGTGCAAACATGTGTTGACTTCAGCTTCTAATGTTCAAAATACACTTGAGCATTATGATTCAATAGACAATTAACCGTATGTTTGCAGCCTATTAAATGTCTAGTTTTTAAGGCCTGTAAATGGTCAATAAACGATGAAATCTAAAAACGGTCAGTTGACAGTGTCATTAAGGGTCCATTTATAGACTATTAACTGGTCGCTTATTGGCGAGTTTCAGACCATAAAAAATAAGTTTTAAAAACGGTTCATAAACGATGCCGTTTTTACATCACTAATCGCCTGTGTATAGACCACTTTTTAGGCAGATCATAAATTAACCATTGATGGATCATTTATTGCCCATTCTTTTCCACCTGGAACATTTTCTGTGTCTGTCTTTTTCTTACAACAAAACTAATCAGTCTGTGTATAAACGACATAAAATACCATCAGTATATATAAATTTGATTTCTGATATAAATTTATTATTATTATTTTCAATTAACATATTAAATTGTTCATTTTCTTCGGCTGTGAATCTATACTGATCTTTTGGAGATACATTTATATTACATTGAAATTTTTTTAAAGTTTTTAATAATACATCATTTTCTTTAAATAATTCATACCAATTTTGTAACATTATAAAATCTTTTTCTGCTCTGAATAGGTGACATGCAACAATCTTAAATAATTTTAATTTTGGTAAACTAAATAATATAGTTTTCAAATGTTTAAATGACAACCACATAATTTCTAAATTTAATTCGATCAAATTTAAATGTTTATAATCCACTATTTCATTTTCTCTACAGCACATTTGATACATGCAAGTAAATGATTTTAATATTGGTAAATTTTTAAGTAACAAGTAGAATTCACGTGTATAACAGCTCATTACTTTTAATGATACTAGAACGATAATAATAAATACAAGTTTTAAATAAATAGTCAGTGCAATTCTTTGGCAAATGCAGCATACTTTATGAGTATGAATCACAAACATCAAGAACTATCTCAATTAAAAAGAGTGTTCAATTCTGAATAAGAATATGTCACTAAAAATGTTTTGAAACATTGCCAAGAGGTTCGGGAGAGGTCAACAACTTCGGGGTTTTGTAGTATCAAACGGGCACTTGGGGTCAAATTGTTTCAAAAATAGCTAACCTGTATATCTAAAATCTTTCGTAAATAAACTAGATGCGACAAACAATAATACGGCTTACTTAAAGGAGTTTCAAATTACTTATGGCCCTCGAGTGTTTGTTCCAAAATCGTCAGAAACGTGAAACAAAGCTAAACTGAATAGTGAGTGCATTTGCCACCATTGAATCGAACTTTAAATTGAAAAATGCAATACATATATATATACATCAAATTTGTCGTCATTGCATCTCTGCTGAAATGTAGATTTCAGTTTCTCAGTCGGTTCAGTAAAGAATGGTGGGAATCATCTTTAAGAAGAATTCAGTCGTTTTTCCGTTTATACAAGTCTCTATAGTTAAGGTATCAGCAATGCGAAATTTGAGCAACTTTTTTTTTCCTTCTTTTTGACATGGTTGAATAGAACAGGACAAACTCCATAAGAAAAACATAAGCTGAGCTTTTGCAACGTCGTTCGTTGATGTTAAAAGTCAACAGTACAATTATCTGTTTCGATCTCTGGAAATCCTAATTAATACTGCAAAATTTGTTTTGGCTTTTAATGAATGTTAATCGATAAAGCTATTTTAAGTAAGGTGCACACAAAGCAAAATTATAGTGAATTTTGTTTTTCAATAAAAAACATACCATTCGATGCAGAATTTCATGCTGATCACGAATATGACCTTAGAAGTTCAAAAAATTTCTTTTCTTCGGGGAGAAAACTGCGAAATACTTAGACCCTCCAAAAACTTCTAAAATTTCTGACCTTTCGAAAAACTCTTATAACTTTTTTTTGGAAGTCCCTATCGACTGAAACTTTTTTTAGAGAGTATTTTTAGAGAGTAGGTTTTTAACTAGTAGGTTTGCAACTTTTGACGTAGACTTCTTTTGCATTGCTTGTGACTTTATCATTTGGCTTCCAAAAAAACGTGGAAAAAGGACCCATTTCACTACTAGAATCGAACATACTTTCAAATGAGGTAGATGATGTGATGTTTGCGATAAATCTTCATCTAAGGTTATGTACAATGCCAGTTACGGTGTCCAGCGGCAGATGAAGACATCAACCGTAACATGAAATAAAAAATTTCCTTCTCTCAAAGAGTATAGTACTTTTATTTCCCGTGCTAGCGCAGGAACATTCACTAGTTACAAAACGTTTGTAAATTGCCGAAAAATATATTTTTATAGGTTATCGATGATGAAGGTGAAGCCTAATGATTTTAAAATATAGTCCACTTTTGATGCTACACAAAATGATCGACTTAAAAGAATTATTATATTGAATTATGGAACTTGAGTCACTGAAGATCCGACTTTTAGAGATCCTCTCAAAAACTCATGAAGGACATAAACAAAGTTCAGAATCATAACAAGTCACATCATCGATAACCTACCTAAACATAAACATAATTTGTTTTTGTTTTTTTTTCAATTCAAAAATGGTTCATCCACTGAGGATCTTCCCTCGTCAATATAGTAAAACTCATTTTGTATTCTTACTTAGATTTGTGTTTAATCCAACAGATATTGTTGGTGAAACGAAATCGAACGGTATATGTAGAATTTTTAAGTTAGGAAAGTAATGCCATTGGGATATTTTTGAAATAAAATCAGCCTTAAATGAAAAATATTTGTCTAGCGTCAGACTATACTACAGAATAACCTAAGTCAATTAATGTTTGTCTGCATTACAATGACCATTCTACACTACCGAAAAGATGGATCTAATACGAAAAATTTACAAACTACGATCGGGTCCAAAATACAAGAGCAGTGGTTACTTTCTGAATACTGTTTGACAGAAGCTAGTTAGAGACCTGCGGTTTTCAGTTCTGAAAACTAGACACTTGATCACATATTTCTGTAAGCAAAAACGAATATCGGAAAAATTTTGGAGTGAGTTTTTCTTTGAAAAACTAGCTTGGGTCAATCAATCATGCTGAGTCTCGTGGCAATATTTATTTTTAGAAAAGGTTTTAAAAATCTGGCGAAAAGCAAGGTTTATGAAAATCTAGATTTTCAGGCTGTTCTCACCCACTATTAAAAAATTTAATATTCACTCAAAAAAACATAATTATAAGATCGAAAGAATCGAAAAGCCTATTTTTGTTAATGGGCTTTCTGGACACTCTTTCGGAAAACCTTAGGGTTTTGTAAAATTTCTTTCGTGATCTCCCATAAACAGAATACAGAAGAGCGTCAATGTTCTGCATTCTGAAATTTTGAACTTGTTGTGATGTTTTTTGAGTGAATAGTGAACTTTTTAATATTAGGTGAGAACAGCCTAACATCCCAAATTTTCATAAACCTCGCTTTTCGCTAGATTTTTAAAACTTTTTCAGAAAAGAAATATTGCCACATGGCCTAGCATGGTTGATTACCTGTAATCCATCGGTTTTCAAGGCTACCAATAGTCACTAGGTGCCTGTCCTGGGATTCGTAGAAAATTCGATACAACATCCGAACCGCGGAAAATCAAGGTCTCGCTATACTCCCGCTTTGAAGAAGAAACCTCGGGCTATCAGTTCATGAAAAACTTAATACATTCCTACGTGAATTTCGGAAAACCCAAGCTAGTTTTCCAAAGAAAAACTCACTCCAGAAATTTTTCCGATATTCGTTTTTGCTTACAGAAATATGTGGTCAGGTGTCTAGTTTTCAAAACTGAACACCGCAGTCTCTAACTAGCTTTTATCAAAAATTATTCAGAAAATAACCACTGCTCTTGTATTTTGGACTCGATAGTAGGACACTATTTATATGCATCTTCTTACCTTAAGCACTCTGTCTTTATGCGATAATAGATGTTTTTCAAGTTTTAAACAAGTTAATTGTTGACGAGATTCGAATGGTAAATTTAATAGTTGTTCAATATGATAATAAGCAACCATTGGTAATACAAGTGAACGTAAGTTTGGATAATGATTTATAAGAAGTGATAATGATTTTGAAAGCAGCTGGTTACTTAATTCAGGTCGGTTAGTTGTTGAAAACCAGTCATCGGTTTTAACATACGTTATCTTAGTTTGAATAGACTGATTTGGTAAAATATATTCTTTTAAATAACGATGATCACTACAGGACATTATAAAAAGATTTAAACCCAAATTATTTACACGTCGATCCATTAAAATAGAATTCAAACGATGATTTAATCCGTAAAAAGCACGATAAAGATCAACAACCGAAATATATTGAAAAAATTCAATAAAGATTTCATCAGGAAACTTTTTTTCCATTTGAACTTTTTTTAAATCTAAATCAAACTTAGTAGATAAGAGGTTACAGTATGTGACAGTAAGTACCTAATATTAAGAATGGGTTTTTGATAGATTCGACAGGTCAATTCGTGAAGTATCTCAGAACTGGAATTTGATATGCACATTTTATTCTTCTACCTGTGTATATTAAGCTATTTGGTTAAGAGAGAATGCATGAGCCCTGCACGAAAGGCCAAAACACGAAGAAACTTTACATTTATTTTTTATATTCTAGTTCGGTTCTACGTACCACATTGTGGTTATGAAAAAAGTTTTAGACCTTTACACCTTATAATGACGGATTTATAGAACTATTAAAAAAAGGATCTTGGAAATTCGTAAAAAAACGACATCTTTAGTATTTTCTATTTTTTAACTTCAAATTTTATTCGATAGTTTCTGGCAATGTTTGATTTGAAAGAACATTTAAAACTGTACTGAATGATGTGTGTGATGTTCAAAAAACTTCGCAGTAGAATTTAAAGAATTAAAATTTTACAAAACTTCAACTTTTTAACAAAGTGCAGTTTTAAAGTATTTTTAAATTTTCAAAATCATACCGGAATTAGTAAGAGGTTTCTAAATCGCATTTTGCAGAGCGCATCACTCTGCACAAGGTGATATTACTTTCGAAGTTCACAATGGGGTAGATCATGATGGAAACAAATGTAGCCCAGAGCACAAAAACATCTAATCATTTCAAGATTTTATCCTGAATATGTCACTTTGAAGCGAAAAACAGGCGATATTCGGAATCAGCGTCAAAAACTGAATCGAATCATGTATATTTCAAGGATTTTCGGGGCAAAGAATGTTTTTCGACATTGTTTCCCTTAGTCCTCTAGGACTAAAATTACCAAAAGAAATTTTTTGCTCGGAAATGCACTTTTGTGATATTATTATGGTAAAGCACCAAAGATAACCCAGAAAAGCTAATTCTGGGTTTATTTTAAACAAAAAAATTATTTGGAGATGGCATTCTTACTCAGAATCCGACGCTCTCGACATTTGCGTCAAACCTCGATGTAACGCTGGTAACGGCTTCCCGACGAATTACCCAAAAGTATCCTACAAGATGGACTTTTTCAGACCTGGACTAGTTTTCTATTCACGATTTCGAAGTCGGAAATATACTGTTAATCTAGTAAGGCTTAAAGACTTTTTGAAAAATTACATTTAATTTAGCTTACTTTAAATATTTGCTGTTTGTTTTAAATTGAACTTTTTATCTATGATTTTTTCTCTACATTAAAATGAACGAAAAGGAAAGGCGATATGTCATCTAATTTGTTTCTTTCTTTAATATATGTCACTAACTTCAACTTATGAATCAATTTCGTGAACGTTGCTTCAGCGATAAAGCTCGAATTAAACACATGGATAAATTCGAGCAAGAGTATCGATTCGTGCAGTTGCATATCCAGGATATTTGCACCATCAGGCAAGCTCCCAGCAAACGAGTTTTGGAAGCTGGGCAATGACAAATGACAAGCAATTTGGAGTGGTGTTCAGCAGAGAGTGTAACCGGTATCAAAAATGCGATACCGGTACCAGTCACCGGTATACAAACTTTGTACCGGTACCGTCCGGTATATTTTGTCTCGATCATATTTGCCTAAACAAAAATACTTTTTCCTTGGTTTTCTTCATTGTGAGCTTTATTTTATGTTATCAAAGTGATAGATTAATCTTTTCGCTTTGATTATGTACAGTCGATTTTTCACACGCTTTTTTTTAACGAAAACAGCAATACAATTCAATCTTTTAAATTAAGAAGTTTATATAAGCCGAGAAAGCTTTGGTAATTGGAATGAAATTTTAGTGGAAGAAATATGTTACAGATGAGCTGACTTTACACGATGTTTTTTGAAAAAAATCGTATCATACCGCCAAGGTTTTGTCTCAAAGACGATTGGACAGGTGGTTGCCTTCCCTCGTTAGAGTAAAAAACAATTTAGTAATAAAAGTCCAATACTTTCCTACACACCATCTTCTTCGTACGGTTTCTTGGCTAAGACGTTTCCTTTCAATTAGACTATGCTGTCAAACAGAACACACATGCCCTTTTTTTTCTTATCTATGGCAGAGCACCTTCGAGACAAGCCTTTGTTAAACATATTTAAACATTTTCCACCGAATAAGATTATTCGTCGCATTGGTGTCCGCGAGGCGCGCCTTTTATAGCCGTCGACTGAGCTCTTCCGCCCTATCTTTGTCAGCTAATCGAGAGATAGCTACCGGAATATTATAAACTCTACATTGAATTATCTCCTTCCACAATCACAGCTGCTCATAATACTTTAACTGAATGAAAATAATCTTTTGAAGCGTAGAATGCTAGTTCACACGTTAATTGTCTGCTCTTGTATTTAGTTTGTATAGTGTTACTGCATTTTATAGTGTTTGACTTCAGTCATTATTATTATTATCCGTCAGAGACCTTGGATAGCTCACATTTCGTGAATAAAAGAATCTTAGATCTCGAATCTGGGTATCCTTCCGTCGCACTGGTGGTTCAGTGGTAGAATGCTCGCCTGCCACGCGGGCGACCCGGGTTCGATTCCCGGCTAGTGCACTTTTTACTTTTTCTTGACTTGTTTTGAAAAAATTTTGTGAATGGTTCTGTCAGACTTGACTGTTTTTGATTTTCTCTAGTAGTTGTTGCTTGATCATAGTTCGACGTTTTCTAGAAAATGTTTGGTATATGGTATTTGGATTCATCGACTTTTCGTCCGTCTGGTAGTTTTATCATAAAATCTTTCCATACTTTTGGGGAGAGATTGACAACCATGCCGTGTTAATGCACGATCTCCACTACAACGAAAACGTCTAACTATGATCAATCAACAACTACTACGCTCTAAAACAAAAATAACCAAAAAAAAGTATTTTCATGCCGGTATGCCCTCTGACGAGGGAACCTATCGAACTGTTACCTTGCTTTTTCAGCCAAACACAGTGGGTTATAGGTATTCGACCACGCTAATTCCGAGTATGAGCATGAGAGCTGCCCTTAGACCTTCGAAGACCCTGTTTTCTGGAAAAAAAGTTTTTCGTCTTCTATGCGGTTTATCTTGGCAAAGAAGCGATGTTTATCAATGAAATTTATACCAACGATGGATATTAGGGAGTCCTACTACCAAAAATAATTTGAACTTGATTGAACAAGCGGACCAGAAGTTATAGTCAAAACAGAGGCCGCTACGGAATTTCAAAAAAAGGAAGTGTACTCCAGGGGGTATTCCAGTAAAATATAAATTATTCAGCCTTAAATTAATTTTAAAATGATTGCTTAATTACTAAATTAAAGCTCATAGTTTGGGCTGTCAGAATCACTACTGACTTTTTCTTGAATTAGTTCCTTGACAGAGAAAATCTAATAAAAGTGACCGTTACGGAATTACTCCGTTTTTTGCTGTTCTTTGCAGATGGTTTGGTGTATATTTTTTCTGTCACAGAACTACTTAACAAGCTTAGATTTTCGCATAGATAGACAGTTTGAGATGCCCTTCATCCCATGCAGCTAAAAATAATTTTTCGAAGTTAAATTAAATGGGCGTAAAATTGCTCACAAAATAAGCGCCAAAACGCGTTTTAGAAAAAAAAAATTTTGACATCTAAACGTTAAAACAAATGAGCCCTCTGTAAAGCATTTGATTCCCTATCCGACGGTATAGTTTTCAGAATTTTTGGAAAAAATATCTAGGTCAGGAAATTACATTTAAAATTTAAAAATTTATATTTTCACCACAAAGATTTGGCTTTCATTTGTTTTTGAGTCCAGATTGTAATCACCGTGAAAAACTGCGTCTAATGGTTGCTATTCCTCTATTCCTCTATTCCCCTATTGCTATATTCCTGTATTTCTCTATTCCGAGACTAATTCTGTATTCCGCTGTTATACAACATTCCATTTTATACAACAATATGGACTCATAACTGATTTTATAAGAGATAGTTTTAGAACCAATGATGAAAGATTTACAGTATTATTACATCAACAAGGTGTACTAATAGAATTTCAATTATCAGAAATTGAGGTATTAGATAAAACATATATGAAATACTTCGATCATTTCAGAGGTGGACAAATCTGACCATTTCCAAGTCCAAGTCCAACAGAAAATTCTTTTGGCAAGTCCCAATCCAAGTTCGAGTCGAAGTTCTTCATATTTCTGCACTATACAGTACGTCGTAATCATATATGACGAGTAAATAAATTTTATTCATACACTGATGTATGTTTCACAAAAGAAAGATTAATAAATTAGGTATCAGATTATACTCAATCCGTCGTTGAATGTAAAAGTTTTCAACTCCTTGCACTTCAAACGGACTTGATAAAAAGATCACCAAGTCTATCAAAAAAACCTTCAAGTCCGGACTTGGACTTGCCCACCTCTGCGGTCATTTATATCGTCAAAGTTAAGATAAGAAAAACAGTTCAATTTTTTCGTTTTTCTTTATTATTATATGGGACATCATTATTGTTCACAAGCTTTATATAAAGAATTTGTTTTGTAAGATACTTTTGTATGTGTATTATGTAAGGTATTTAAATATTGCACAACTTCAGTTACATCGTTATAAAATGTTTTATATTGATCTTCCCATGTGCACATATATTGAAAAAATGTAGCACTAGACAAAAAGCTTAATAAATTACAGGTTCTACAAATAAGCACATGTCCAATCCTTGCCTGGGAGGGGGAGTAAGGATTATAAATGTGCATAAACTGTAAGTTGAACGAATTATTTCGATGTTTTGAAAATTTTATGTTCATTATTTATTAATAACGCAAATAAGCGATATTCATATTCATGTATATCTTTGTTCATAATAATTTATTTGTATAGGTCGTCGACTGAGCCATGCTGTCACTTGGTTGCAAGAGAGAGAGAACAGTTGAAAATATTTAAGTTATTATATACGTTACTCACAAGTAGAAGTTCTCTTTCTTAACTCTGCTGGTTAGAATAGACCTGTTGCAAGATGAAGAAGAAGGAGAAAGAGAAAGAGAAAGAGAAGAATATTCAAGCTTGTATACAAGCTTGAATATTCTTCTCTTTCTCTTTCATCTTGCAACAGGTCTAATGTCTGTGTTTACACATAAATGAAAAAAGTGAGTTGAAAGATTCTTTTCGTTCTGCTATTGCACACGACAACAGAGAGAACAGAACACGTTGTCTGTGGTGCGAGTATGTACTTGCAATGGTGACTTTTAACAGATCGGGGAATGGATATTTGGTTGGAGGATGTGCACGAATATCGTGGAACAGTGGACATTACGGCAAATCTCTCACTATGAATTTAATACATTATCCGTCAACTTAATTGCCTTTCTCAAATGAACTGAATAAAAGAAGTCTAATTAAAGGTAACCTTTGTCTGATATATAGCAAGACGCAGAACATTCTGCTTGGGCTTTAAGTAGACAGATTGTTTTGTCAAACAGGATACAGTCTACCCAGGGCAATGAAAACGAGATGGAAAATGGCTCGTTTATGGCTCATTAACAGGCCAACTTTTGGTCATTAATGGTCATTTTTATCTCATAAATGGTATCGTTATTCGGTCGTATTTACACGG